CATTAGTCACATGTTCTATAGTAACTGTTGTATACATGAGTCACATGTTCTATAGTAACTGTTGTTTACATTAGTCACATGTTCTATAGTAACTGTTGTATTAGTCACATGTTCTATAGTAACTGTTGTATACATGAGTCACATGTTCTATAGTAACTTTTGTATACATTAGTCACATGTTCTATAGTAACTGTTGTATACATTAGTCACATGTTCTATAGTAACTGTTGTATATATTAGTCACATGTTCTATAGTAACTGTTGTATACATTAGTCACATGTTCTATAGTAACTGTTGTATTAGTCACATGTTCAATGGTAACTGTTGTATTAGTCGCATGTTCTATAGTAACTGTTGTTTACATTAGTCACATGTTCTATAGTAACTGTTGTATACATTAGTCACATGTTCTATAGTAACTGTTGTTTACATTAGTCACATGTTCTATAGTAACTGTTGTATACATTAGTCACATGTTCTATAGTAACTGTTGTATTAGTCACATGTTCTATAGTAACTGTTGTATACATTAGTCACATGTTATATAGTAACTGTTGTATACATTAGTCACATGTTCTATAGTAACTGTTGTTTACATTAGTCACATGTTCTATAGTAACTGTTGTATACATTAGTCACATGTTCTATAGTAACTGTTGTATACATTAGTCACATGTTCTATAGTAACTGTTGTATACATTAGTCACAAGTTCTATAGTAACTGTTGTATTAGTCACATGTTCTATAATAACTGTTGTATACATGAGTCACATGTTCTATAGTAACTGTTGTATACATTAGTCACATGTTCTATAGTAACGGTTGTATACATTAGTCACATGTTCTATAGTAACTGTTGTATACATTAGTCACATGTTCTATAGTAACTGTTGTATTAGTCACATGTTCTATGGTAACTGTTGTATTAGTCACATGTTCTATAGTAACTGTTGTTTACATTAGTCACATGTTCTATAGTAACTGTTGTTTACATTAGTCACATGTTCTATAGTAACTGTTGTATTAGTCACATGTTCTATGGTAACTGTTGTATTAGTCACATGTTCTATAGTAACTGTTGTATACATTAGTCACATGTTCTATAGTAACTGTTGTATTAGTCACATGTTCTATGGTAACTGTTGTATTAGTCACATGTTCTATAGTAACTGTTGTTTACATTAGTCACATGTTCTATAGTAACTGTTGTATACATCAGTCACATGTTCTATAGTAACTGTTGTATTAGTCACATGTTCTATAGTAACTGTTGTATACATTAGTCACATGTTCTATAGTAACTGTTGTATACATTAGTCACAAGTTCTATAGTAACTGTTGTATTAGTCACATGTTCTATAATAACTGTTGTATACATGAGTCACATGTTCTATAGTAACTGGTGTATACATTAGTCACATGTTCTATAACTGTTGTATACATTAGTCACATGTTCTATAGTAACTGTTGTATACATTAGTCACATGTTCTATAGTAACTGTTGTATACATCAGTCACATGTTCTATAGTAACTGTTGTATTAGTCACATGTTCTATAGTAATTGTTGTATACATTAGTCACATGTTCTATAGTAACTGTTGTATACATCAGTCACATGTTCTATAGTAACTGTTGTATTAGTCACATGTTCTATAGTAACTGTTGTATACATTAGTCACATGTTCTATAGTAACTGTTGTATACATTAGTCACATGTTCTATAGTCACTGTTGTACACATTAGTCACATGTTCTATAGTAACTGTTGTATACATTAGTCACATGTTCTATAGTAACTGTTGTATACATTAGTCACATGTTCTATAGTCACTGTTGTATACATTAGTCACATGTTCTATAGTAACTGTTGTATACATTAGTCACATGTTCTATAGTCACTGTTGTATACATTAGTCACATGTTCTATAGTAACTGTTGTATACATTAGTCACATGTTCTATAGTAACTGTTGTATACATTAGTCACATGTTCTATAGTAACTGTTGTTTACATTAGTCACATGTTCTATAGTAACTGTTGTATACATTAGTCACATGTTCTATAGTAACTGTTGTATACATTAGTCACATGTTCTATAGTAACTGTTGTATACATTAGTCACATGTTCTATAGTAACTGTTGTTTACATTAGTCACATGTTCTATAGTAACTGTTGTATTAGTCACATGTTCTATAGTAACTGTTGTATACATTAGTCACATGTTCTATAGTAACTGTTGTTTACATTAGTCACATGTTCTATAGTAACTGTTGTATACATTAGTCACATGTTCTATAGTAACTGTTGTTTACATTAGTCACATGTTCTATAGTAACTGTTGTTTACATTAGTCACATGTTCTATAGTAACTGTTGTATACATTAGTCACATGTTCTATAGTAAATGTTGTATACATTAGTCACAAGTTCTATAGTAACTGTTGTATTAGTCACATGTTCTATAATAACTGTTGTATACATGAGTCACATGTTCTATAGTAACTGTTGTATACATTAGTCACATGTTCTATAGTAACGGTTGTATACATTAGTCACATGTTCTATAGTAACTGTTGTATACATTAGTCACATGTTCTATAGTAACTGTTGTATTAGTCACATGTTCTATGGTAACTGTTGTATTAGTCACATGTTCTATAGTAACTGTTGTATTAGTCACATGTTCTATAGTAACTGTTGTATACATCAGTCACATGTTCTATAGTAACTGTTGTATTAGTCACATGTTCTATAGTAACTGTTGTATACATTAGTCACATGTTCTATAGTAACTGTTGTATACATTAGTCACAAGTTCTATAGTAACTGTTGTATTAGTCACATGTTCTATAATAACTGTTGTATACATGAGTCACATGTTCTATAGTAACTGGTGTATACATTAGTCACATGTTCTATAGTAACTGTTGTATACATTAGTCACATGTTCTATAGTAACTGTTGTATACATTAGTCACATGTTCTATAGTAACTGTTGTATACATCAGTCACATGTTCTATAGTAACTGTTGTATTAGTCACATGTTCTATAGTAATTGTTGTATACATTAGTCACATGTTCTATAGTAACTGTTGTATACATCAGTCACATGTTCTATAGTAACTGTTGTATTAGTCACATGTTCTATAGTAACTGTTGTATACATTAGTCACATGTTCTATAGTAACTGTTGTATACATTAGTCACATGTTCTATAGTAACTGTTGTATTAGTCACATGTTCTATAGTCACTGTTGTATACATTAGTCACATGTTCTATAGTAACTGTTGTATACATTAGTCACATGTTCTATAGTAATTGTTGTATACATTAGTCACATGTTCTATAGTAACTGTTGCATACATTAGTCACATGTTCTATAGTAACTGTTGTTTACATTAGTCACATGTTCTATAGTAACTGTTGTATTAGTCACATGTTCTATAGTCACTGTTGTATACATTAGTCACATGTTCTATAGTAACTGTTGTATACATTAGTCACATGTTCTATAGTAATTGTTGTATACATTAGTCACATGTTCTATAGTAACTGTTGCATACATTAGTCACATGTTCTATAGTAACTGTTGTTTACATTAGTCACATGTTCTATAGTAACTGTTGTATACATTAGTCACATGTTCTATAGTAACTGTTGTATACATTAGTCACATGTTCTATAGTAACTGTTGTATACATTAGTCACATGTTCTATAGTAACTGTTGTTTACATTAGTCACATGTTCTATAGTAACTGTTGTATACATTAGTCACATGTTCTATAGTAACTGTTGTTTACATTAGTCACATGTTCTATAGTAACTGTTGTTTACATTAGTCACATGTTCTATAGTAACTGTTGTTTACATTAGTCACATGTTCTATAGTAACTGTTGTTTACATTAGTCACATGTTCTATAGTAACTGTTGTATACATTAGTCACATGTTCTATAGTAACTGTTGTATACATTAGTCACATGTTCTATAGTAACTGTTGTATACATTAGTCACATGTTCTATAGTAACTGTTGTTTACATTAGTCACATGTTCTATAGTAACTGTTGTATACATTAGTCACATGTTCTATAGTAACTGTTGTATACATTAGTCACATGTTCTATAGTAACTGTTGTATACATTAGTCACATGTTCTATAGTAACTGTTGTATACATGAGTCACATGTTCTATAGTAACTGTTGTATACATTAGTCACATGTTCTATAGTATTTGTAATACTCTAGTGACTCCGTGGGCTGGTGGTTGAACACTCCCCTCTGGTGGTAGAAGCGGGAAAGCCAGTAGGAGGAATGGCAGAAACATATTTAGAAGCAGAAACCGCTCTGTTCATGACGTCACAGCCTGAGTTTGAAAGGTGAGTATTTTGACAGAAGGGGTGGGGCCACGTGTTACTGATGCCAGCGTGGGCGGAGCTAAAGTCAGCTGCAGTCTGTATTTGTTGGAACATGGATAATTCGTCATAATAAGTGTTGTTTAAACCAGTGGCACGTTAGTGTGCCTTTCGATCCAACCTCTTTGATAAAAATCATATGAAAATAGTGAAAAGATTAGAAAGACCCTTCTTTGATTCTGTATGATACAGTTTGATGGGAATGACTTTGCTTTGTTAATAAAGTTTAAAGGTTGGGGAACACTGGTCTAAACTTTTTCCTCAGCTCAGAACTGTTGCTCCATGTAATCAGAAGAAACTAGTCAGATGGTTGTTATTGGAGATCTGGCGCCACCTAGTGTCTCCAATGGCGGCTAAAGGAGATACTATATATTTTTCATCATTATTATTATCATTATTATCATCAGGGCTGATGATAATAATGATGAACAGTGATCAGGGAAATCTATTCACTTTTATTAAAATCTATGAACAACTATCGACAGTTATGGACAGTTACCCTCCCCCTAAGAACATGTGTGTTTGTTATTATTGCATTTGTTCAAACTGGTTGTTTCTCTGATCAGTTGTATGTTATTTATGATTCAAAAGTCAGGTCCCACAGCTTTAGTTGCACAGCCCACATGTGTCCGCGGTGATCCTGCAGTTCCACCTTTATCCTCCGGGGGCGCACTTCCACAGCTCCGCACCGTGACGCCTCTGCTCCTCACCCGGCCACGTGACGAGGCGATCGGCCCCTGCTCCTCCGCTCTGCTCGCTCCTTCCCAGGGTTCAATGAGCTCCGTGTGGCCCCACCCCGTGCGTCCATAACGCTGCCTCTCTGCCCGCGCTGTGTCTGCTCTCACCGGGGTAAAGAGCACCGAGAGACACCGCTGCTACAGCCGAAGACCCATGATCCAGGCTCCCGCATCTCCCCCCACTGTTGGCCGGTAGGGGAGAGGCCTTCGCGGTGAGAGAGTGCTCCGACAGTCGCCCCTCAGCCTGTCGGCCGTGGGTGTCCGTGGGTCTCTGTGGGTCTCCGTGGGTCTCCGTGGTTGTAGATGCACATGCGTCTGCAGCTGTGGATCCAGAGGAGACCGTGAGAGCGGCGGCTGTGGTTCATATGACAGCGGGAGTTTCCCTTTCACCTGCTGAGGAAGTACCGTGGATCTACCGGACGCTGTTCCGTGTCCGTGCTGTCGGTCTGTGCCGCGTCCCTCTCGCTCCAAACACCATTTTGTCGCAGTTTGAGGCTCGCAGTGATGGAAGCAGCTGATAACACACGGAGCAGAGGCCTTTGAACACAACACAGCCTAAACACAGCCTAAACACAGCCTAGACACAGCCTAAACACAGCCTAAACACAGCCTAAACACAGCCTAGACACAGCCTAAACACAGCCTAAACACAGCCTAAACACAGCCTAAACACAGCCTAAACACAGCCTAGACACAGCCTAAACACAGCCTAGACACAGCCTAAACACAGCCTAGACACAGCCTAAACACAGCCTAGACACAGCCTAAACACAGCCTAAACACAGCCTAGACACAGCCTAAATACAGCCTAAACACAGCCTAAACACAGCCTAGACACAGCCTAAACACAGCCTAGACACAGCCTAAACACAGCCTAGACACAGCATAAAAACACCGCCTAGACACAGCCTAAACACAGCCTAGACACAGCCTGGACACAGCCTGGACACAGTCTGGACACAGTCTGGACACAGCCTAGACACAGCCTAAACACAGCCTAAACACAGCCTGGACACAGCCTAAACACAGCCTAAACACAGCCTGGACACAGCCTGGACACAGTCTGGACACAGCCTAAACACAGCCTAAACACAGCCTAAACACAGCCTAGACACAGCCTAAACACAGCCTAAACACAGCCTGGACACAGCCTAAACACAGCCTAAACACAGCCTGGACACAGCCTGGACACAGTCTGGACACAGCCTGGACACAGCCTAAACACAGCCTAAACACAGCCTGGACACAGCCTAAACACAGCCTAAACACAGCCTAAACACAGCCTAAACACAGCCTAGACACAGCCTAAACACAGCCTAGACACAGCCTAAACACAGTCTGGACACAGCCTGGACACAGCCTAAACACAGCCTAGACACAGCCTAGACACAGCCTAAACACAGCCTGGACACAGCCTAAACACAGCCTAAACACAGCCTGGACACAGCCTAAACACAGCCTGGACACAGCCTAAACACAGCCTGGACACAGCCTAAACACAGCCTGGACACAGCCTAAACACAGCCTGGACACAGCCTGGACACAGCCTGGACACAGCCTAGACACAGCCTAAACACAGCCTAAACACAGCCTGGACACAGCCTAAACACAGCCTAAATACAGCCTAAACACAGCCTAGACACAGCCTGGACACAGCCTGGACACAGCCTGGACACAGTCTGGACACAGCCTAAACACAGTCTGGACACAGCCTGGACACAGCCTGGACACAGCCTAAACACAGTCTGGACACAGCCTAAACACAGTCTGGACACAGCCTGGACACAGCCTGGACACAGCCTAAACACAGTCTGGACACAGCCTAAACACAGCCTAAACACAGCCTAAACACAGCCTGGACACAGCCTGGACACAGCCTGGACACAGCCTGGACACAGCCTGGACACAGCCCACCCCCAGACGACCCACGGAGTGAGGGTCATTTGGGGCTAATTTGCAGCGGCCACAGCGGGATGACGGCTCGGCGGCGCTCACACATGTAGCTCTGGGAGTAAACGTCTCTGCAGGCCCCGCTCAGACCGGGACCCAGACACTATGAGGATTAGTGCTGACGCTGGTTCTACTCGTGTGGACCGCGGACAGAGGGAGGTCTCTGGTCACGGGCAGCAGTGAGACGCGGGGTGAGAGACCAGAGAGTCCCCAGGTGAGAGACCAGAGAGTCCCCGGGTGAGAGACCAGGAGTCCCCGGGGTGAGAGACCAGAGAGTCCCCGGGGTGAGAGACCAGAGAGTCCCCAGGTGAGAGACCAGAGAGTCCCCGGGTGAGAGACCAGGAGTCCCCGGGGTGAGAGACCAGAGAGTCCCCGGGGTGAGAGACCAGAGAGTCCCCAGGTGAGAGACCAGAGAGTCCCCAGGTGAGAGACCAGAGAGTCCCCAGGTGAGAGACCAGAGAGTCCCCAGGTGAGAGACCGGAGAGTCCCCGGGGTGAGAGACCAGAGAGTCCCCAGGTGAGAGACCAGAGAGTCCCCGGGGTGAGAGACCAGAGAGTCCCCGGGGTGAGAGACCAGAGAGTCCCCGGGGTGAGAGACCAGAGAGTCCCCGGGGTGAGAGACCAGAGAGTCCCCGGGGTGAGAGACCAGAGAGTCCCCGGGGTGAGAGACCAGAGAGTCCCCAGGTGAGAGACCAGAGAGTCCCCGGGGTGAGAGACCAGAGAGTCCCCGGGGTGAGAGACCAGAGAGTCCCCGGGGTGAGAGACCAGAGAGTCCCCGGGGTGAGAGACCAGAGAGTCCCCGGGGTGAGAGTCCAGAGAGTCCCCGGGGTGAGAGACCAGAGAGTCCCCGGGGTGAGAGTCCAGAGAGTCCCCGGGGTGAGAGTCCAGAGAGTCCCCGGGGTGAGAGACCAGAGAGTCCCCAGGTGAGAGACCAGAGAGTCCCCGGGGTGAGAGACCAGAGAGTCCCCAGGTGAGAGACCAGAGAGTCCCCGGGGTGAGAGACCAGAGAGTCCCCGGGGTGAGAGACCAGAGAGTCCCCGGGGTGAGAGACCAGAGAGTCCCCGGGGTGAGAGACCAGAGAGTCCCCGGGGTGAGAGACCAGAGAGTCCCCGGGGTGAGAGACCAGAGAGTCCCCGGGGTGAGAGACCAGAGAGTCCCCGGGGTGAGAGACCAGAGAGTCCCCGGGGTGTGAGAGCCTCGTGTGGGGGAGAGTGAACCGAGAGTCTGTGGGGAACCAGGATCCAGGGGCCGACAGCGGGGTCCTGTCCTTCTCCAGAGTTGGCAAGTAACTAAGTACTTTTACTCAAGTAGCTTTCCTGGTATCCATTCTTTATACTTTACCAGTGAAAGTAACGTAAAAGACGTTACTTTTGTTCCATTTTAAAACTAGTTACATTGAAACTGACCACGTGACGTGGGGAGAGAGACCAGAGGGGGAGAGAGACCAGAGGGGGAGAGAGATCAGAGGAGAGACCAGAGGGGGAGAGAGACCAGAGGGGGAGAGAGATCAGAGGGGGAGAGAGATCAGAGGAGAGACCAGAGAGAGGGACCATGCAGAGACAGACGGTCGCTAAGGCGGTTCCTAAGGAAACCTGGAGTTTCCCCTGAATGAAGTCCTCTGATTGGTCAGTCCTTATATGGTCATGTCTGAATCTACAAAGACAACATCACATATAAACACTGGACACAGAGAAACCCCAGATTTAAGCCCAAAGTGATGTCACAGAAGCGTTACTGAGGAGTTCCCTTTTTATATGAAGTCAATAGAAGCCAGGCTTGAGCTAGCAGGTTAGCATTGAGATAGCAGGTCAGGTTAGCATTGAGCTAGCTGGTTAGCATTGTCCATGTACAGTCTGTGGTGTCTAAACTTTTCTTCTCTGACAGCTCCCCGCATCATGGCCACAGCCGTCCTCCAGAGCAGCTGTGTGAATGTGGCTCCACAGCCGCAGCCAATATTCATTTAGCCTGTGAAGAGCGCCCCCTGCTGGACACCTGCGGGAACATGGGTTGTTTGAGCAACAGCAAGACTGAAGACCAGAGAAACGAGGAGAAGGCCCAGAGAGAAGCCAACAAGAAGATCGAGAAGCAGCTGCAGAAGGACAAGCAGATCTACAGGGCCACACACCGGCTGCTGCTGCTAGGTCAGTAAAGCACAGGTACTGACTCACAGGGACCAGCCCAAAGGGTCAGATACTGACTCACAGGGACCAGCCTAAAGGGTCAAATACTGACTCACAGGGACCAGCCCAAAGGGTCAGAGAGTGACTCACAGGGACCAGTCCAAAGGGTCGTCCTTTGATAAAGCACTGAAGAACACTGTAGCCCACAACTTTTACAAAGTTCTATTGGAAATTAATTTATGAAACAAGGAAGTTGGGGAGAGCGAGACCGGAGAGCGAGACCGGAGAGCGAGACCGGAGAGCGAGACCGGAGAGCGAGACCGGAGAGCGAGACCGGAGAGCGGAGAGCGAGAGCGGAGAGCGAGAGCGGAGAGCGAGACCGGAGAGCGAGAGCGGAGAGCGAGAGCGGAGAGCGAGAGCGGAGAGCGGAGAGCGAGACCGGAGAGCGAGAGCGGAGAGCGGAGAGCGGAGAGCGGAGAGCGAGAGCGAGAGCGGAGAGCGAGAGCGGAGAGCGAGAGCGGAGAGCGAGAGCGGAGAGCGAGAGCGGAGAGCGAGAGCGGAGAGCGAGAGCGGAGAGCGAGAGCGGAGAGCGAGACCGGAGAGCGAGACCGGAGAGCGAGACCGGAGAGCGAGAGCGGAGAGCGGAGAGCGGAGAGCGGAGAGCGGAGAGCGAGAGCGGAGAGCGAGAGCGGAGAGCGAGAGCGGAGAGCGAGAGCGGAGAGCGAGAGCGGAGAGCGAGAGCGGAGAGCGAGACCGGAGAGCGAGACCGGAGAGCGAGACCGGAGAGCGAGAGCGGAGAGCGAGAGCGGAGAGCGGAGACCGAGAGCGAGAGGCGAGAGCGGAGACCGAGAGCGAGAGGCGAGAGCGGAAAGCGGAGAGCGAAAGCGGAGAGCGAGAGGCGAGAGCGGAAAGCGGAGAGCGAGAGCGGAGAGCGAGAGCGGAGAGCGAGAGGCGAGAGCGGAAAGCGGAGAGCGAGAGCGGAAAGCGGAGAGCGAGAGCGGAGAGCGAGAGCGGAGAGCGAGAGGCGAGAGCGAGAGCGGAGAGCGAGAGCGGAGAGCGAGAGCGGAGAGCGAGAGCGGAGAGCGAGAGCGGAGAGCGCTACCACTATGACATCATGACATCACTATGACAAAATGGTTCTTGCTTTGACTGAACCAAACCTGGACCCAAAGTCAGAAATGCTTGGTAATGCGGACCAACTGTTATTGTGTTCTGCGTTCAATGTATAGAATAGAATAAATTATCTTTAAAATGATGTGTAACACACCGTGGTCGCCCTTAGCAACCTCTGTGTTCCGCCTGTAATACCCCTGCACACCCCCAGGGGTCAGTGTATCCACAAGTGTGTCTGTGAACACCTGCGTCTGTGAACACCTGCGTCGGTGAACACCTGCGTCGGTGAACACCTGCGTCGGTGAACACCTGCGTCGGTGAACACCTGCGTCTGTGAACACCTGCGTCTGTGAACACCTGCGTCGGTGAACACCTGCGTCTGCGTCGGTGAACGTCGGTGAACACCTGCGTCTGTGAACACCTGCGTCGGTGAACACCTGCGTCTGTGAACACCTGCAGTGTTTCCCACACATAGACTAATCTGTGGCGCACCGCCACAGATTAGAGACCGCCCGCCACAAATTGCGTTTCGTATTATTATATATATTTTTTTTTTGTTACGCTATTTAAAACATGCATCGTCTAGTGCCGCCGCAGCGGTCAATTTGACAGCGGGGAGGGGGGTTTAAAATGTGGCGGCCCTTCGTAACTCTCACTCAAGCTACGCGTCTCTCCCACATACAGAGACCTACACACACACAGCCCCTCCCCTTCGTGCACACCGCGTGTCTCCGTCTCCATCAGCGATCATCGCTGTAAGCAGCTGTGTCTATTAATTTACCGCGGTAAAGTGGCCCGCATCTTTCAGCTCTATGAACATGCGGCCCGCATCGGGGAAAAGACGGTGCGCGTTTTGTTGAGAACTTACGGTAACAGCGGAACGTCCTTTCGGAGTCACCCATTTTTATCGAACAGAAAGCGCGCTGGGGTCAGGGAGACACGTTTTTGTGATTAAAACCTTATAGAGATGCCACCCGGCACACATAGCACCAGCCCCCTACGATTCCTCCGGCAGATTGTGAGTCCTCAGGAGGATAGCCACTCTATTGTTTACATGTATAAAGTACACAATTTGGTCCGCTAGTGCAATTTTCAAGTATTGTAACTATTTACTGGAATAAGGTGTGCGACTAATTTCACTTGACTCATGACCTTATTATTGCCCTCTGCCACTGTACCAAAGACCAGAAACTTTTACTGTAGAAATATTGAGAAATATTGAGGTAAAGTAGCCATTTTGGTCCAAAATACCTCCAAAATAGTCAAAACATGTCACTTTTGATCTACTGTAACTTTTTACTGTAAAAAGGTGTGCGACTAATTTCACTGGATTCATGACCTCAAGATTGTCCTCTACCACTGTACCAAAGACCAGACACTTTTACTGTAGAAATATTGAGAAATATTGATTTAAAGTAGCCATTTTGGTCCAAAATAGCCTAAAAATGGTCAAAACATGTCACATTTGATCTACTGTAACTTTTTACTGTAAAAAGGTGTGCGACTAATTTCACTGGATTCATGACCTCAAGATTGTCCTCTACCACTGTACCAAAGACCAGACACTTTTACTGTAGAAATATTGAGAAATATTGATTTAAAGTAGCCATTTTGGTCCAAAATAGCCTAAAAATGGTCAAAACATGTCACATTTGATCTACTGTAACTTTTTACTGTAAAAGGTGTGCGACTAATTTCACTGGATTCATGACCTCATGATTGCCCTCTACCACTGTACCAAAGACCAGAAACTTTTACTGTAGAAATATTGATTTAAAGCAGCCATTTTGGTCCAAAATAGCCTAAAAATTGTCAAAACATGTCACTTTTGATCTGCTGTAACTTATTACTTAAAAAGGTGTGCGACTAATTTCACTGGATTCATGACCTCAAGATTGTCCTCTACCACTGTACCCCCCCCCCCCCCCCCCCCCCGTCGACCACCACACATTGCCTTCAAACCTGTGGGAAACACTAACCTGCGTCTGTGAACACCTGCGTCTGTGAACACCTGCGTCGGTGAACACCTGCGTCTGCGTCGGTGAACGTCGGTGAACACCTGCGTCGGTGAACACCTGCTTCTGTGAACACCTGTGATCAACTGTCTGTGAACGCCTGCGTCGGTGAACACCTGTGATCAACTGTGTGAACGCCTGCGTCGGTGAACACCTGCGTCGGTGAACACCTGCGAACACCTGCGTCGGTGAACACCTGCGAACACCTGCGTCGGTGAACACCTGCGTCGGTGAACACCGGTGAACACCTGCGTCGGTGAACACCGGTGAACACCTGCGTCGGTGAACACCGGTGAACACCTGCGTCGGTGAACGCCTGCGAACACCTGCGTCGGTGAACGCCTGCGAACACCTGCGTCGGTGAACGCCTGCGAACACCTGCGTCGGTGAACGCCTGCGAACACCTGCGTCGCTGAACGCCTGCGAACACCTGCGTCGGTGAACGCCTGCGAACACCTGCGTCGGTGAACGCCTGCGAACACCTGCGTCGGTGAACGCCTGCGAACACCTGCGTCGGTGAACGCCTGCGAACACCTGCGTCGGTGAACGCCTGCGAACACCTGCGTCGGTGAACGCCTGCGAACACCTGCGTCGGTGAACGCCTGCGAACACCTGCGTCGGTGAACGCCTGCGAACGCCTGCGTCGGTGAACGCCTGCGAACGCCTGCGTCGGTGAACGCCTGCGAACGCCTGCGTCGGTGAACGCCTGCGAACGCCTGCGTCGGTGAACGCCTGCGAACGCCTGCGTCGGTGAACGCCTGCGAACACCTGCGTCGGTGAACGCCTGCAAACACCTGCGTCGGTGAACGCCTGCAAACACCTGCGTCGGTGAACGCCTGCAAACACCTGCGTCGGTGAACGCCTGCAAACCCCTGCGTCGGTGAACGCCTGCGAACACCTACGTCGGTGAACGCCTGCGAACACCTGCGAACACCTGCGTGGGTGAACGCCTGCGAACACCTGCGAACACCTGCGTGGGTGAACGCCTGCGAACACCTGCGAACACCTGCGTCGGTGAACGCCTGCGAACACCTGCGTCGGTGAACGCCGGTGAACACCTGCGAACACCTGCGTCGGTGAACGCCGGTGAACACCTGCGAACACCTGCGTCGGTGAACGCCGGTGAACACCTGCGTCGGTGAACGCCTGCGAACGCCTGCGTCGGTGAACGCCTGCGAACGCCTGCGTCGGTGAACGCCTGCGAACGCCTGCGTCGGTGAACGCCTGCGAACGCCTGCGTCGGTGAACGCCTGCGAACGCCTGCGTCGGTGAACGCCTGCGAACGCCTGCGTCGGTGAACGCCTGCGAACGCCTGCGTCGGTGAACGCCTGCGAACGCCTGCGTCGGTGAACGCCTGCGAAAGCCAGCGTCTGCGAACGGCAGCGTCTGCGAACACATGTGAACAACTGCGTCTGTGAACACCTGCGTCTGTGAACACCTGTGAAAGAGGACCGTGGGCTGTGAGCTTCCTGTTCTGGAGGTTCTTTATAAATCCAGACTTTTAAACAAAGCTCTTAGAATTATCAATGACTCTTCTGGCCACCCTGGGAAAGCCATGTTCCAGCTTCTTCCCTCTGGCTGAAGATATCGTTCTCTGAGATGCAGGACATCTCGTTATGCTAATAGTTTTTTCCACAAACTGTTATCAGTTTGGACCATAGACTGTATATATTAAAGGACAGAGTCACGCCTATCTCCGCCATTCTAACTAACCCGACCCTAAGGCTGATTCTCTAATCTGTTAGACATGAACTTTAACCATCTGTAGTGTAGCATAGGTGTCTCTGTGTCTGTGTCTCTGTGTCTCTGTCTCTGTGTCTCTGTGTCTGTGTCTCTGTGTCTGTGACTCTATGTCTCTGCCTCTGCCTCTGTCTATGTCTCTGCCTCTGTCTATGTGTCTCTCTGTCTGTGTCTCTCTGTGTCTGTCTCTGTGCCTCTATGTCCCTGTCTCTGTGTCTGTCTCATGTCTCTGTGTCTCTGTCTCAGGAGCTGGGGAGTCGGGGAAAAGCACCATTGTGAAGCAGATGAGGATCCTTCATGTGAACGGCTTCAACGCAGAGTGAGTCTCTGTCCTCGTCCTCAAACATAACTGTCTCTGTCCTCAAACATAACTGTCTCTGTCCTCAAACATAACTGTCTCTGTCCTCAAACATAACTGTCTCTGTCCTCAAACATAACTGTCTCTGTCCTCAAACATAACTGTCTCTGTCCTCAAACATAACTGTCCTCGTCCTCAAACATAACTGTCTCTGTCCTCAAACATAACTGTCCTCGTCCTCAAACATAACTGTCCTCGTCCTCAAACATAACTGTCTCTGTCCTCAAACATAACTGTCTCTGTCCTCAAACATAACTGTCTCTGTCCTCAAACATAACTGTCCTCGTCCTCAAACATAACTGTCTCTGTCCTCAAACATAACTGTCCTCGTCCTCAAACATAACTGTCCTCGTCCTCAAACATAACTGTCTCTGTCCTCAAACATAACTGTCTCTGTCCTCAAACATAACTGTCTCTGTCCTCAAACATAACTGTCTCTGTCCTCAAACATAACTGTCTCTGTCCTCAAACATAACTGTCTCTGTCCTCAAACATAACTGTCTCTGTCCTCAAACATAACTGTCCTCGTCCTCAAACATAACTGTCTCTGTCCTCAAACATAACTGTCTCTGTCCTCAAACATAACTGTCTCTGTCCTCAAACATAACTGTCTCTGTCCTCAAACATAACTGTCTCTGTCCTCAAACATAACTGTCCTCGTCCTCAAACATAACTGTCTCTGTCCTCAAACATAACTGTCTCTGTCCTCAAACATAACTGTCTCTGTCCTCAAACATAACTGTCTCTGTCCTCAAACATAACTGTCTCTGTCCTCAAACATAACTGTCCTCGTCCTCAAACATAACTGTCCTCGTCCTCAAACATAACTGTCCTCGTCCTCAAACATAACTGTCCTCGTCCTCAAACATAACTGTCTCTGTCCTCAAACATAACTGTCTCTGTCCTCAAACATAACTGTCTCTGTCCTCAAACATAACTGTCTCTGTCCTCAAACATAACTGTCCTCGTCCTCAAACATAACTGTCTCTGTCCTCAAACATAACTGTCTCTGTCCTCAAACATAACTGTCTCTGTCCTCAAACATAACTGTCCTCGTCCTCAAACATAACTGTCCTCGTCCTCAAACATAACTGTCCTCGTCCTCAAACATAACTGTCCTCGTCCTCAAACATAACTGTCTCTGTCCTCAAACATAACTGTCTCTGTCCTCAAACATAACTGTCTCTGTCCTCAAACATAACTGTCTCTGTCCTCAAACATAACTGTCTCTGTCCTCAAACATAACTGTCTCTGTCCTCAAACATAACTGTCTCTGTCCTCAAACATAACTGTCCTCGTCCTCAAACATAACTGTCTCTGTCCTCAAACATAACTGTCTCTGTCCTCAAACATAACTGTCTCTGTCCTCAAACATAACTGTCTCTGTCCTCAAACATAACTGTCTCTGTCCTCAAACATAACTGTCTCTGTCCTCAAACATAACTGTCCTCGTCCTCAAACATAACTGTCCTCGTCCTCAAACATAACTGTCCTCGTCCTCAAACATAACTGTCTCTGTCCTCAAACATAACTGTCTCTGTCCTCAAACATAACTGTCTCTGTCCTCAAACATAACTGTCTCTGTCCTCAAACATAACTGTCTCTGTCCTCAAACATAACTGTCCTCGTCCTCAAACATAACTGTCTCTGTCCTCAAACATAACTGTCTCTGTCCTCAAACATAACTGTCTCTGTCCTCAAACATAACTGTCCTCGTCCTCAAACATAACTGTCCTCGTCCTCAAACATAACTGTCCTCGTCCTCAAACATAACTGTCCTCGTCCTCAAACATAACTGTCCTCGTCCTCAAACATAACTGTCCTCGTCCTCAAACATAACTGTCTCTGTCCTCAAACATAACTGTCTCTGTCCTCAAACATAACTGTCTCTGTCCTCAAACATAACTGTCTCTGTCCTCAAACATAACTGTCTCTGTCCTCAAACATAACTGTCTCTGTCCTCAAACATAACTGTCTCTGTCCTCAAACATAACTGTCCTCGTCCTCAAACATAACTGTCTCTGTCCTCAAACATAACTGTCTCTGTCCTCAAACATAACTGTCTCTGTCCTCAAACATAACTGTCTCTGTCCTCAAACATAACTGTCTCTGTCCTCAAAATAACTGTCTCTGTCCTCAAACATAACTGTCCTCGTCCTCAAACATAACTGTCTCTGTCCTCAAACATAACTGTCTCTGTCCTCAAACATAACTGTCTCTGTCCTCAAACATAACTGTCGTCGTCCTCAAACATAACTGTCCTCGTCCTCAAACATAACTGTCCTCGTCCTCAAACATAACTGTCCTCGTCCTCAAACATAACTGTCCTCGTCCTCAAACATAACTGTCCTCGTCCTCAAACATAACTGTCTCTGTCCTCAAACATAACTGTCTCTGTCCTCAAACATAACTATCCTCGTCCTCAAACATAACTGTCCTCGTCCTCAAACATAACTGTCTCTGTCCTCAAACATAACTGTCTCTGTCCTCAAACTGTCTCTGTCCTCAAACATAACTGTCTCTGTCCTCAAACATAACTGTCTCTGTCCTCAAACATAACTGTCTCTGTCCTCAAACATAACTGTCTCTGTCCTCAAACATAACTGTCCTCGTCCTCAAACATAACTGTCTCTGTCCTCAAACATAACTGTCTCTGTCCTCAAACATAACTGTCTCTGTCCTCAAACATAACTGTCTCTGTCCTCAAACATAACTGTCTCTGTCCTCAAACATAACTGTCTCTGTCCTCAAACATAACTGTCTCTGTCCTCAAACATAACTGTCTCTGTCCTCAAACATAACTGTCTCTGTCCTCAAACATAACTGTCTCTGTCCTCAAACATAACTGTCTCTGTCCTCAAACATAACTGTCTCTGTCCTCAAACATAACTGTCTCTGTCCTCAAACATAACTGTCTCTGTCCTCAAACATAACTGTCTCTGTCCTCAAACATAACTGTCTCTGTCCTCAAACATAACTGTCTCTGTCCTCAAACATAACTGTCTCTGTCCTCAAACATAACTGTCTCTGTCCTCAAACATAACTGTCTCTGTCCTCAAACATAACTGTCTCTGTCCTCAAACATAACTGTCTCTGTCCTCAAACATAACTGTCTCTGTCCTCAAACATAACTGTCTCTGTCCTCAAACATAACTGTCCTCGTCCTCAAACATAACTGTCCTCGTCCTCAAACATAACTGTCCTAGTCCTCGTCCTCAAACATAACTGTCCTCGTCCTCAAACATAACTGTCCTCGTCCTCAAACATAACTGTCTCTGTCCTCAAACATAACTGTCTCTGTCCTCAAACATAACTGTCTCTGTCCTCAAACATAACTGTCTCTGTCCTCAAACATAACTGTCCTCTCGTCCTCAAACATAACTGTCTCTGTCCTCAAACATAACTGTCTCTGTCCTCAAACATAACTGTCTCTGTCCTCAAACATAACTGTCTCTGTCCTCAAACATAACTGTCTCTGTCCTCAAACATAACTGTCTCTGTCCTCAAACATAACTGTCTCTGTCCTCAAACATAACTGTAACTTCTGTCCTCAAACATAACTGTCTCTGTCCTCAAACATAACTGTCTCTGTCCTCAAACATAACTGTCCTCGTCCTCAAACATAACTGTCTCTGTCCTCAAACATAACTGTCCTCGTCCTCAAACATAACTGTCCTCGTCCTCAAACATAACTGTCTCTGTCCTCAAACATAACTGTCTCTGTCCTCAAAACATAACTGTCTCTGTCCTAAACAAACATAACTGTCTCTGTCCTCAAACATAACTGTCTCTGTCCTCAAACATAACTGTCTCTCGTCCTCAAACATAACTGTCCTCGTCCTCAAACATAACTGTCTCTCGTCCTCAAACATAACTGTCCTCGTCCTCAAACATAACTGTCTCTGTCCTCAAACATAACTGTCTCTGTCCTCAAACATAACTGTCTCTGTCCTCAAACATAACTGTCTCTGTCCTCAAACATAACTGTCTCTGTCCTCAAACATAACTGTCTCTGTCCTCAAACATAACTGTCTCTGTCCTCAAACATAACTGTCTCTGTCCTCAAACATAACTGTCTCTGTCCTCAAACATAACTGTCTCTGTCCTCAAACATAACTGTCTCTGTCCTCCTCAAAACATAACTGTCTCTGTCCTCAAACATAACTGTCTCTGTCCCAAACATAACTGTCTCTGTCCTCAACAAACATAACTGTCTCTGTCCTCAAACATAACTGTCCTCTGTCCTCAAACATAACTGTCTCTGTCCTCAAACTATAAACTGTCTCTGTCCTCAAACATAACTGTCTCTGTCCTCAAACATAACTGTCTCTGTCCTCAACATAACTGTCTCTGTCCTCAAACATAACTGTCTCTGTCCTCAAACATAACTGTCTCTGTCCTCAAACATAACTCTGTCTCAACATAACTGTCTCTGTCCTCAAACATAACTGTCTCTGTCCTCAAACATAACTGTCTCTGTCCTCAAACATAACTGTCTCTGTCCTCAAACATAACTGTCTCTGTCCTCAAACATAACTGTCTCTGTCCTCAAACATAACTGTCTCTGTCCTCAAACATAACTGTCTCTGTCCTCAAACATAACTGTCTCTGTCCTCAAACATAACTGTCTCTGTCCTCAAACATAACTGTCTCTGTCCTCAAACAATAACTGTCTCTGTCCTCAACATAATTCCTGTCCTCAAACATAACTGTCTCTGTCCTCAAACATAACTGTCTCTGTCCTCAAACATAACTGTCTCTGTCCTCAAACATAACTGTCTCTGTCCTCAAACATAACTGTCTCTGTCCTCAAACATAACTGTCTCTGTCCTCAAACATAACTGTCTCTGTCCTCAAACATAACTGTCTCTGTCCTCAAACATAACTGTCTCTGTCCTCAAACATAACTGTCTCTGTCCTCAAACATAACTGTCTCTGTCCTCAAACATAACTGTCTCTGTCCTCAAACATAACTGTCTCTGTCCTCAAACATAACTGTCTCTGTCCTCAAACATAACTGTCTCTGTCCTCAAACATAACTGTCTCTGTCCTCAAACATAACTGTCTCTGTCCTCAAACATAACTGTCTCTGTCCTCAAACATAACTGTCTCTGTCCTCAAACATAACTGTCTCTGTCCTCAAACATAACTGTCCTCTGTCCTCAAACATAACTGTCTCTGTCCTCAAACATAACTGTCCTCTGTCCTCAAACATAACTGTCTCTGTCCTCAAACATAACTGTCTCTGTCCTCAAACATAACTGTCTCTGTCCTCAAACATAACTGTCCTCGTCCTCAAACATAACTGTCCTCGTCCTCAAACATAACTGTCTCTGTCCTCAAACATAACTGTCTCTGTCCTCAAACATAACTGTCTCTGTCCTCAAACATAACTGTCTCTGTCCTCAAACATAACTGTCTCTGTCCTCAAACATAACTGTCTCTGTCCTCAAACATAACTGTCTCTGTCCTCAAACATAACTGTCTCTGTCCTCAAACATAACTGTCTCTGTCCTCAAACATAACTGTCCTCGTCCTCAAAATCCTTTTTTGTTACAGGGAAAAAAAACAGAAAATCCAGGACATAAAGAACAACATTAAAGAGGCCATCGAGGTGAGAGCTGTGTGTGTGTGTGTGGCAGTTGTTGTGTGTTTGTGGTGTGTGTGTGTGGCAGTTGTTGTGTGTTTGTGGTGTGTGTGTGTGGCAGCTGTTGTGTGTTTGTGGTGTGTGTGTGTGGCAGCTGTTGTGTGTTTGTGGTGTGTGTGTGTGGCAGCTGTTGTGTGTTTGTGGTGTGTGTGTGTGGCAGCTGTTGTGTGTTTGTGGTGTGTGTGTGTGGCAGTTGTTGTGTGTTTGTGGTGTGTGTGTGTGGCAGCTGTTGTGTGTTTGTGGTGTGTGTGTGTGGCAGCTGTTGTGTGTTTGTGGTGTGTGTGTGTGGCAGCTGTTGTGTGTTTGTGGTGTGTGTGTGTGGCAGCTGTTGTGTGTTTGTGTGTGTGTGTGTGTGGCAGCTGTTGTGTGTTTGTGGTGTGTGTGTGTGGCAGCTGTTGTGTGTTTGTGGTGTGTGTGTGTGGCAGCTGTTGTGTGTTTGTGGTGTGTGTGTGTGGCAGCTGTTGTGTGTTTGTGGTGTGTGTGTGTGGCAGTTGTTGTGTGTTTGTGGTGTGTGTGTGTGGCAGCTGTTGTGTGTTTGTGGTGTGTGTGTGTGTGGCAGCTGTTGTGTGTTTGTGGTGTGTGTGTGTGTGTTTGTGGTGTGTGTGTGTGTGGCAGCTGTTGTGTGTTTGTGGTGTGTGTGTGTGTGTGTTTGTGGCAGCTGTAGAGTCACAGTGGTGTGTGTGTGGCAGCTGTAGAGTCACAGTGGTGTGTGTTTGTGTGTGTGTGTGTGTGTGTTTGTGGCAGCTGTAGAGTCACAGTGGTGTGTGTGTGTGGCAGCTGTAGAGTCACAGTGGTGTGTGTTTGTGGTGTGTGTGTGTGTGTGGCAGCTGTAGAGTCACAGTGGTGTGTGTGTGTGTTTGTGGCAGCTGTAGAGTCACAGTGGTGTGTGTTTGTGGCAGCTGTAGAGTCACAGTGGTGTGTGTGTGTGTGTGTGGCAACTGTAGAGTCACAGTGGTGTGTGTTTGTGGCAGCTGTAGAGTCACAGTGGTGTGTGTGTGTGGCAGCTGTAGAGTCACAGTGGTGTGTGTGTTTGTGGCAGCTGTAGAGTCACAGTGGTGTGTGTGTGTGGCAGCTGTAGAGTCACAGTGGTGTGTGTTTGTGGTGTGTGTGTGTGGCAGCTGTAGAGTCACAGTGGTGTGTGTTTGTGGTGTGTGTGTGTGGCAGCTGTAGAGTCACAGTGGTGTGTGTTTGTGGTGTGTGTTTGTGTGGCAGCTGTAGAGTCACAGTGGTGTGTGTTTGTGGCAGCTGTAGAGTCACAGTGGTGTGTGTGTGTGGTGTGTGTGTGTGGCAGCTGTAGAGTCACAGTGGTGTGTGTGTGTGGTGTGTGTGTGTGGCAGCTGTAGAGTCACAGTGGTGTGTGTTTGTGGTGTGTGTTTGTGGCAGCTGTAGAGTCACAGTGGTGTGTGTTTGTGGCAGCTGTAGAGTCACAGTGGTGTGTGTTTGTGGCAGCTGTAGAGTCACAGTGGTGTGTGTTTGTGGTGTGTGTGTGTGGCAGCTGTAGAGTCACAGTGGTGTGTGTTTGTGGTGTGTGTTTGTGTGGCAGCTGTAGAGTCACAGTGGTGTGTGTTTGTGGCAGCTGTAGAGTCACAGTGGTGTGTGTGTGTGGTGTGTGTGTGTGGCAGCTGTAGAGTCACAGTGGTGTGTGTTTGTGGTGTGTGTTTGTGGCAGCTGTAGAGTCACAGTGGTGTGTGTGTGTGGTGTGTGTTTGTGGCAGCTGTAGAGTCACAGTGGTGTGTGTTTGTGGCAGCTGTAGAGTCACAGTGGTGTGTGTTTGTGGCAGCTGTAGAGTCACAGTGGTGTGTGTTTGTGGCAGCTGTAGAGTCACAGTGGTGTGTGTGTGTGTTTGTGGCAGCTGTAGAGTCACAGTGGTGTGTGTGTGTGTGTGGCAGCTGTAGAGTCACAGTGGTGTGTGTTTGTGGTGTGTGTTTGTGGCAGCTGTAGAGTCACAGTGGTGTGTGTGTTTGTGGTGTGTGTGTGTGGCAGCTGTAGAGTCACAGTGGTGTGTGTGTGTGGCAGCTGTAGTCACAGTGGTGTGTGTGTGTTGTGTGTGTGTGTGTGTGTGGCAGCTGTAGAGTCACAGTGGTGTGTGTGTGTGGCAGCTGTAGAGTCACAGTGGTGTGTGTTTGTGGTGTGTGTTTGTGGCAGCTGTAGAGTCACAGTGGTGTGTGTGTGTGGCAGCTGTAGAGTCACAGTGGTGTGTGTTTGTGGTGTGTGTTTGTGGCAGCTGTAGAGTCACAGTGGTGTGTGTGTGTGGCAGCTGTAGAGTCACAGTGGTGTGTGTTTGTGGTGTGTGTTTGTGGCAGCTGTAGAGTCACAGTGGTGTGTGTGTGTGGCAGCTGTAGAGTCACAGTGGTGTGTGTTTGTGGCAGCTGTAGAGTCACAGTGGTGTGTGTTTGTGGTGTGTGTTTGTGGCAGCTGTAGAGTCACAGTGGTGTGTGTGTGTGTTTGTGGCAGCTGTAGAGTCACAGTGGTGTGTGTGTGTGTTTGTGGCAGCTGTAGAGTCACAGTGGTGTGTGTGTGTGGCAGCTGTAGAGTCACAGTGGTGTGTGTTTGTGGTGTGTGTTTGTGGCAGCTGTAGAGTCACAGTGGTGTGTGTTTGGCGACTTTTGTGTAACTGTGTGTGTTTGTTGCAGCTGTTGTGTAGGGGTGGGATCCTCAGGATACCTCACGATACGATACGCGATACAAAGCTCACTAGAACGATTATATCACGATATGACAATTATCGATATATTGGTCAGAAATATACTGTTATAGAAATCTTTTAGTAAAGCAATCTGAAAGTTATTCACTAATTCTCAACTCTGGATTTAAATACTGCTCATATGGTCTGTTGCAGCACATATGGTCTGTTGCAGCACATATGGTCTGTTGTGTTACAGTTGTTGTGTAACTGTGTGTGTTACAGTTGTTGTGTAACTGTGTGTGTTACAGTTGTTGTGTAACTGTGTGTGTTACAGTTGTTGTGTAACTGTGTGTTACAGTTGTTGTGTAACTGTGTGTTACAGTTGTTGTGTAACTGTGTGTTACAGTTGTTGTGTAACTGTGTTACAGTTGTTGTGTAACTGTGTTACAGTTGTTGTGTAACTGTGTGTGTTACAGTTGTTGTGTAACTGTGTGTGTTACAGTTGTTGTGTTACAGTTGTTGTGTAACTGTGTGTTACAGTTGTTGTGTAACTGTGTTACAGTTGTTGTGTAACTGTGTTACAGTTGTTGTGTAACTGTTGTGTTACAGTTGTTGTGTAACTGTGTGTGTTACAGTTGTTGTGTAACTGTGTGTGTTACAGTTGTTGTGTTACAGTTGTTGTGTAACTGTGTGTTACAGTTGTTGTGTAACTGTGTTACAGTTGTTGTGTAACTGTTGTGTTACAGTTGTTGTGTAACTGTGTGTGTTACAGTTGTTGTGTAACTGTGTGTGTTACAGTTGTTGTGTTACAGTTGTTGTGTAACTGTGTGTTACAGTTGTTGTGTAACTGTGTTACAGTTGTTGTGTAACTGTGTTACAGTTGTTGTGTAACTGTGTGTTACAGTTGTTGTGTAACTGTGTTACAGTTGTTGTGTAACTGTGTGTTACAGTTGTTGTGTAACTGTGTTACAGTTGTTGTGTAACTGTGTGTTACAGTTGTTGTGTAACTGTGTTACAGTTGTTGTGTAACTGTGTGTTACAGTTGTTGTGTAACTGTTGTGTTACAGTTGTTGTGTAACTGTGTGTGTTACAGTTGTTGTGTAACTGTGTGTTACAGTTGTTGTGTAACTGTGTGTGTTACAGTTGTTGTGTTACAGTTGTTGTGTAACTGTGTGTTACAGTTGTTGTGTAACTGTGTTACAGTTGTTGTGTAACTGTGTTACAGTTGTTGTGTAACTGTTGTGTTACAGTTGTTGTGTAACTGTGTGTGTTACAGTTGTTGTGTAACTGTGTGTGTTACAGTTGTTGTGTTACAGTTGTTGTGTAACTGTGTGTTACAGTTGTTGTGTAACTGTGTTACAGTTGTTGTGTAACTGTGTTACAGTTGTTGTGTAACTGTGTGTTACAGTTGTTGTGTTACAGTTGTTGTGTAACTGTGTTACAGTTGTTGTGTAACTGTGTGTTACAGTTGTTGTGTAACTGTGTTACAGTTGTTGTGTAACTGTGTGTTACAGTTGTTGTGTAACTGTGTTACAGTTGTTGTGTAACTGTGTGTTACAGTTGTTGTGTAACTGTTGTGTTACAGTTGTTGTGTAACTGTGTGTGTTACAGTTGTTGTGTAACTGTGTGTGTTACAGTTGTTGTGTAACTGTGTGTGTTACAGTTGTTGTGTTACAGTTGTTGTGTAACTGTGTGTTACAGTTGTTGTGTAACTGTGTTACAGTTGTTGTGTAACTGTTGTGTTACAGTTGTTGTGTAACTGTGTGTGTTACAGTTGTTGTGTAACTGTGTGTGTTACAGTTGTTGTGTTACAGTTGTTGTGTAACTGTGTGTTACAGTTGTTGTGTAACTGTGTTACAGTTGTTGTGTAACTGTTGTGTTACAGTTGTTGTGTAACTGTGTGTGTTACAGTTGTTGTGTAACTGTGTGTTACAGTTGTTGTGTTACAGTTGTTGTGTAACTGTGTGTTACAGTTGTTGTGTAACTGTGTTACAGTTGTTGTGTAACTGTGTTACAGTTGTTGTGTAACTGTGTTACAGTTGTTGTGTAACTGTGTTACAGTTGTTGTGTAACTGTTGTGTTACAGTTGTTGTGTAACTGTGTGTGTTACAGTTGTTGTGTAACTGTGTGTGTTACAGTTGTTGTGTTACAGTTGTTGTGTAACTGTGTGTTACAGTTGTTGTGTAACTGTGTTACAGTTGTTGTGTAACTGTGTGTTACAGTTGTTGTGTTACAGTTGTTGTGTAACTGTGTTACAGTTGTTGTGTAACTGTGTGTTA